CGAAAGAAATTTTAAAGACAGAAATATGATAAAGCTATTGAGGGAGGGTGTGCCGGGACTGTTCGTTTTTATGCCGATTGCCGAATGTCTAACGATGTTTAGGTTCATACCGTACGATGCGTCTTCTAGTACACATTGCCAATACACTGGAGGAATGTCTCAGAATATTACATGACCGAACTTGAAATCGCACTGCATCTACAGAACAATTTCACAAACAATAAAGATGAAACAAAACCAGAAGTTGTCCATCAGATCATGTACGAACAAATGGGAAACAGAGACTACGATTGTTTCGAATTGGATCGGGAGGATCACGAGCATTATTTGTTCCGAAAAGTGGCTTACGCTTACTTCGGTCCTCCCAAGGACGAAACAAACATGTACGATGAAACCCAAACAAGCACCGTAAATGATATGATCAAGGTGATTAAGAAACAGTGTCTTAAGTACACAAATAACCCTAAACTGGTCGTATTCGCTTGTATCTACAATATAACCACACCACTACCAAGAGAGAAATTGGAAAAGTGCAAGAAGGATGAGGATTATAATCCGTTCACGGATTTTAATGCAAAACCGATATTTGTAGTACCCAAGTGCGCTGATGTCGACAATGCGTGCGTACTTTCATTGACACCGACTTAAGGGTATATAACAACTGGGAGTCATATTTAGAAGAAAACAAACTCGGTAATTGTCTGTGCGTTACTCCAAAAGACGGACGTTATCAAGGAGACTGCTGGAACCGGGTAATACTGGAGTATAATCCGTCGCCGGCTTGCGGTCTTGGTATTCAAGTTTTGAATACCATCGATATTGCAGCTATGGCTGTTGGTGTAGCTGCTGGCGTGGGAGGCCTAGTTGCATTGATTCCGGCCGTAGTTGTTGCAGCACCCATACTCGTGCCGATATCCATTGTTTCTGGTACTGCAGTTTCTGTCTACACATTGTTTCGCAGTGGACACAGTTTATATGACAGACTTACCCATGAGCAGGTAAAATTATTATTTGATACTAATGACACAGAAAAACTTATTTGTTTTTAGACGATGAGTGTGATGGACAGTGAAGCACGCGGAGCTTACTTAAACATAGCGGCAGGGGCATTAGGCTTCGCAGGGTCAGGTGCACGGTTCGCGCTTACCAGTTTTATTAGCAGAGGGGGCACTGTCGGTTTTGTAAGTACCACTAGTTTTAATTATTTTTCTATACATTGGATTTATATGGGATTATGCAGGCAATCCGAGGTGCAGTTGATGGTTTGACTGGAGCGAATGTTTTAATGAGTGGTGCAGCCATCAGTAATTCCACCTACGAAGTGTATAACCAATGGCAATCCAATAATGAAATCGGTTATTTGACGTGGATCCAATTATCTTCATCAATTCTTTTCTTCGGTCACTCCGTGTATAATTTGCAATCGGCTGGTACCATTATTACGGAGACTCAGCAGCAAACTTTGGAAGATATTAGTACCTCATTGCGCAGTAATCGACACAGGAAAACTTTTAATAAGATTACAAAGGAAACGGTGGCGATTCATGGCGATCAACAGGGTAAAGGTAAAGTCATCACATACATCAAAAATTTGGGAAGTTCACGTGATGATGTGCTCGCTAATCTGACCAAGAATAACAAGATGTTGAATCAGAAAGGTATTCGGTACTTTGTTGACCAAGGCAATGTTCAATTCAATAACATCAAAGTTGACATCAGTAGCCTAGGAAAAGGACCTAGGCACCAACAAAGCGCCAATCGCGTAAATTTATCCATGAATGGTGATTGTATCTCCATCAGCGCTTCTCAAAAATATTGTGTTATTGCATTGAATTTGTTCGAAACTATTCCAAAGGTATATCAAATCATACAGGAGGCTGATTCTATGAAAACTGCGTTTAGGTCGCTGTTTGGATTATTTAGCAATTATGTAGTAGAGAAGTTAATTATTTTAGTACCCTCAATGTTGGGATTGACATGGCTGAACCTAAGCTTATTGCAACTATATCCCAAGGCTCAATTGCCTTACAAAGTGCTTAAACTTATTATAGGTTTCTTTAGTAAAATGGCAGAAGATAGAATGAAAGCAGAAGGTATAGATTCATTACATTGGGGATACAAACTTACACAATATATAGAACGGGCTATTACCATCGCCACATTGAGAATGGTCGACATCATACGAGAATTGGCTGAATATATTAATAACTATATATTTGACACAATTTTATCCTTAGCTTATAACATATCTTCAGATAGATTGGCTACCGAAAGTCAGCAAAGCACCGCTACCGAAAGTCAGCAAAGCACCGTCAATCGCCTCAAGTGCACAGTATGTTCAGGTTGCTTTTACAAACAATAATACGATGCAATTTTCAAATTCATAATTTGATCTGAATCAGGGTAAATAAACACCATTTGGTGGAAGAAAAACGTCCGTAATCATAATAACAAAACGTATATTTTAATAAGAATCAGGGCGGAAAGACTACGGTCTTTAGCCCTTTGGTCCTACATGGACTAATAAAAATTGTTAAAAGGTTTAAATAAATACTTTATTTTTTTATATATTTTTAAGAATGTGTATATTGCACTCAAGTATATTATTAGTAATTAGTTATCACATGCTGTTAATCGTGTATTGCTGGAAAGATAAATACTTACGTACTTATCATTAACAAAAATTAAATATCACTACGATTATAATATTTATTTATTTATTTATAAATATAAAAAAACAAAATTTAAAACTTCGAGAACATGTTGCTGTGCGTAACTTTAGATATAAAAGATTATTATTACTATTCAAGAATCGACACGTTCTACGAAGGATTCATTGTTTTGGGTGATGAGGTTACAGCGGTTTTCGGTACTTGATGGTGCGATGCGATATGGCAGTTATAGACATCTCTGTTGATCGATTGAAATTGACAAGATCGGCAGGAGAATAACACTTCCAACTCGAGCCCCGGGTGCTTGGTTTTGACGTGAACCTTGTAAGCACTGCTTTGGATGCATTGGTAGTCGCACTGGCTACATTTGTAAGGTTTCTCGTTCGAGTGCCGTAGCTTGTGCCTCCTCAATGAGTTATGGTCTGTCGTCGAGTAGTCACAAATATCGCATGTAAAAGGTTTTTCACCTGCAAAAAAAAAAAGTTAACTTATTTCGGTATTTTCTTTCAATGTATTTTTATACCTGTGTGCTGTCTAATATGCATTTTTAATGCGCTCTTCGTGGCGCTTTTGTATCCGCAATAGCTACAAAGAAAGGGCTTCAATTTTTTATGAACGACATCAATATGCATTCGCAGTTGCTGGCGATTACTGAACAGCTTCGAGCAGTCCGTGCATTGAAACTTCGGCGATGCGATCTGCTTGTGGGTGTCTTTGTGGTTTCGCAGTTGCTTCGCGTTTTTGAATGACTTTTCGCAGAGGTCACATTTAAAGTTCTTCGACGTGCCATGAGTGAGCTTGTGCGTATTGTTCAGTTTGCTCAAGCTATATGTTCTATAATCGCACTCGTCGCAACAATGCAGCTCCATATCAATGTTATGTTGTCGCCATAGGTGACCAGTCAGGAATTTCCATATGGAGAATAGCTCGTTACATTCAGGGCACTCGTACACAGTGCCTTTATGACACTGCTTGTGATATTGTAGCTTCTCCAGACTCTGGAGAGTAACTTTACAGTTCACCTCGCTACATTTATTTGCCAATATCACTTTCAACTTGGATTTTTCCGACTTTGGTTTAATAATCACTCCGGTTTGGATTAAATCGGGCATTGTCGAAGCAGATTCATTTTCTTCCACAATTTGTGTCTTAACATTCTTATGAGAAAAATCTTTCGCCTCTTTTATCTCCACTGGTCTATCCACAATTCCAATCTGCTTTGAAATTAATATTTTATGTTCGATAGCATATATGATCTTAGACACGTCATTTGGGTCATCAATGTAATGGTCATATTTCAAATGCGCGTCTATTGCTAATTTGTGTTGAAAAGTATTGGGACAAACTGGACATTGTAGATTCTGCTCATTTTTCTTTTTTGTATTATCTTTGTGGTCAATGCTCTTATGCTCTATCATACGCGACTCGTCCAAACAAACAAATAAGCATGCATCGCATATTATTAAGTGTAGGTTCTTCAAATCGTCCAATGTTAAGAGTATTGAATTTACCTGTGACTCTCCTATGAAAGGCAAGCACTCCTACAAATAATCATAGGCAACTTTAGTAACTGGTTGTGAGATTATAAAAAATAATTAACTTACACTTACTATGGGAAATGCTTGATTTGGCTGGATTCCCGACCATAATTGATTAGAGGTCACAGGTACTTCGTCCACAGACTTCATTGTTTTGGAAACACTGATTTTTTGGTTTTTCAATTATTCCATTTATATTAATCATTGGTTATTAATTAATCTCTACATATATTTATGTTAAAGTGCTTGATTGCTGTAATACACTTTCTATTATTCGCGTACATAGTTCAAAATCATCCATACATATTTTGAGGTTATTTTTACTATTGCGATTTAATTGGTTCATTTAGCAATTATAGGGTAATTAATAAAAATCGAGTATATCTTACAGTTGGATTCAAGGATTCGCATACACATATCTGAAATATTCTACTGAAACGACAAGAGACAGAGTGCACCCAATTGGAGGCTACAGGAGGTACATTGACACCAAAATTATTTTTTTATAAACCTTTTCACAAATTACATCAAAATTTAAATTAACTAATTAATGGAATTTATTTAAAAGTCTATTTTATTAAAATAATAACGAACGATTTCCAGATTATTAATAATAAGCAAGTAGAACGTGTTGCCTAATTATATTTGTTTTATAATCTAGAACAGGCGTCGCCAAATATTTTTGACCTTCGACCCCGTTTAACTATAACGTATTTGAAAAAGTAAGAGTCAAATAATCGTTTGAAATTGAATAATCGTCACATATTTACCATGTAGACAAATCTGTAAGGCACAGTATTTAAAATAGATAATTGTTTTTTAGTAAATAATTTACCTACAGGCCCTAATTATCCTTTGTCCGCCACTAGTAAGTACCATTTCATATTTAGAATCTCGTTAGTTTAAAAAAAATCATGGTAGTGGTCCGGAATTAAAAATTTTCAGTCTAGTGAGGTCAAACAGGTTGGCGACCGCTGGTCTAGACAATAAACTCTCTTACAATTGCTTGAAATCTAATATAAATTAGTAGTAATCTATTGGTAAACAAGTCAAGAGCGTTAACGTTATCTACACATTAGATAATGTTCAGTGCCGAGTTGCTAATTATGGTTTCGTGAATAGTTATTCAATTAGTCAAGATGCAGGAACAAGATATCCTGGTTGAAATCCCGAACGAGGATTTACCCAATCTACGAGATTTGTATTCTAAACAGCTACCTTTTGCAACACACGTGTATAGTTTCCTGAACACGGCAATGAAATGGATGAAAGTTAGTCCAGAAAAATCATATATCAAGATTTTCTCTCCCAATGGAGATTGGAGAAGTGATGGCACATTCGTTGCTCTATTGCAGGTACGTTGGTTTTGGTATGTCAAAAGAATCATCAACGACGATATTTGATTGCTTGTGTTTCAGTGGTCATGTTATGATCTCTTTGTTTTTACATTGGAGGAGACATGTGAACGCCTCGAGCACGCGCTTATGACTACGCAAAGAATAGACTGGTCACAGGTGATTCTTTTCTACGCCGTGCACCAAAACCACACGGATACAGTTTATAAAGTTTTGGAAAAGCTTGAACTAAAAGTGGAGCACAGTACTAAGACAGATTTTTGGTGGATGCCCAAAGAACAAGCTTCGCAATTGACTGTCGCGTGAGACCGAAGGCCACATAATCTTTGCACATACAAATATATTTACTTTGGCTTTATTGTAGATGTCCTGAGAACTTTGAGATTAAAATACTGAAGCCGGAACACGCCGAAATTATAAACGAGATCTGGCCTCATAGATATCCTGGCTCGGTGAACTATCTGCGGACGTTCATTGAAATGAATGGTGGCCATGGTGTTTTCACCAAAACAGATGGAAAACTTGTCTCTTGGGTTCTTAAAAACCAAATGGGCACTCTCGGCATCCTTCAAACAATAGATGCGTACAAGCGTATGGGCTTGGGAAGCGCCGTAACTAAATCCCTTAGCAGAGAAATCGCTCTCGAGGGACACAATCCACTTGGTACGGTCCTTGTCGAAAACACCGCATCACAGGCAATGTTCCGAAACATCGGATTCTCGCCTAGTGATTGGTGCCAGTACATAGTAGTAGAACATGATTAATGTCGTTATTATTGTTATTTTAATAACAGCTTAAAATAATTAATAAATATATAATTCGCTATACTTTACTGCTGTCTTTGATAAACTGCTATAAAATCTTTAGTAGTTTTCACCTCCTGGAAGCTAAGCAGATTCCAGCGACTATATATACCAAAATCTGGCTTGAATGGTTCTGGATCTGTATGAGTTCCTCTCCCTTCACCAGGTCCTATTATCACTATCAGACATCCTTCGTACCGATCCACATATTCCTTAAAGGCTTGCCCGTCGTTAAAATAGCAAAACAGCAAAGCAAAATTTGGATTCAGAACTGGGTTAGGCTCCTCCGCCGTCGGGTATAGATGTGGAATGAATTTGGGATTACTGTATTTGCTGATCCACCATTCTTCGTTTACTTCGATACCGAACACCTTAAATCCTACAAACGAAAGGACGAGCAGTAAAGAAAATCGCATGCTTCTAAGTGATTCGACCACAACCAGTGGCTTCCTGAAGAATCCACTCCAATAGTCCGCAACCGCAACCGATTGAAATCATGCCGGATAGATTGGACTCACACAAAGTCCGTCGAATAAATTCGACATTCTCGAGACTGGGCCATACCCAGAGCAATCGAAGTGCGGCCTCGTTGTTGGAGTGTTCATTCAACAACACGATCGACCTCCAATCTTTAGCCCTGTATAAGTCCACGACCGCATCGATGAAACTGTTCTCCGCTTCCATAACCATTTCGCGTCGAAATCGCACAATATACTCGTCGACTGTTCAAATAGGACGGACGGCATTGAACAGGAACAAATTTAAAAAATGCTATTTATAAAATCAAAGCCGCGACCGCCAATAGGTCTCGAAGATAACAAATATACTTGGCACTCGCTACATAATTAGTTTTCTGTTAAAACGTATTCATTTAATTACATAAGTCGGACACAAATTCCTCTATTTCGTTCTCTACAACTATTAGGATAACTTCATCTGTTAATTTCTATATAACATTTATTCTAAGGATGTTACTAAACTAAACGATTCTCAGTAAAATCGATTATATAAATCTAACAATTCTAATTTTAGATGTTAGTTGAAGGGTTTCTAGAAGCGATGAAACAAGAGTAAATAACTTATTTATTATAATAATTTCAAATAATTTACGTAATTCGGATTAAGATTATTTGTAACATGTCTTGAATAATATTATTTGTCCAAGAATCACATGACAAAATAAATCAAACATTAATTAATAGTTTTAAATTAAACTACCTATATGTTAATTACTAAAATTCCAACAGCAACAAAAAATATATTTAGAGATCATTAATAATTTCATTAACAATACTTTTCAAAGAAATTTTAAAAATTCTACAAAAAATTTACATAATAGTGATAATTTAAATTTGCTCCAAAGAATGTTACTAACTTATAGAATTAATATAAAAAAAATAATTGTCTTTGATTAATTTACGAAGTGGTAAATGGAATTTATGAATGTTAGCAGAAAAACGTGAAAGGTTACAACAGTGGTAGGCGTCAGATTAGTAGAAGGAAAGGTAATTAGTGATATATGTTTATATGGCAGTGGTGGAGGTTGTGCAAGAAGCGCGCGATTTAGTAAAAGTAATTGCGTGATTTCTTGATTTGTTTACGTATGGTATTTATTTTCGGCGATGAAGGCCTTCGAGATGAAAGTAAAGGCCTTTGTATTATCAAAAAGGTAAAATAGCGTGGCGTTGGTGACGACACGGCACGAAAATCGGTGCAAGAAAGAAAGAAATGAGAGTATTATCCTCAAGTAGGCGCCTTGTACATTTTTATTGCTTAGTTAGTTATTGACCCAGATTATTTAGCGCAGAAAAAGAGCCGATATGAGACAAAATCAATTCATTTTTTCTTGGTTCATTCGCGCATCGGCTTCATCAACAAGATGTTCAGAGATCTAGCGGTGATACTTACTGGTAAGACTTCAAAGGTACTTTGTTGAGGTGTGTTAGAACCTAGTCGTTTTGCGGTTAAAGGGTTCGTGCTACTGGTCAGAGCTGGTCACTACATCATCCCTGGAGCTATGCCCTACGATGCATACCATGACTTGCATCTGCCCCACAACCCGCCGCTTTATCCAACGTTCGCACGGGTTCCGAAGACCTCCTTTACATGCGATGGACGTATCTCCGGATATTACGCGGACGTCGAGGCCGCCTGTCAGGTAAAAAATAATTAAGTAATAATCACGATAATATCAATTGCAATTATAATTCTCCAAGGCGTACCACCGATGCGAGCATAACCACCAGGCGTCGTTTCTATGCACCAACGGCACACTCTTCAACGAGCAATTCCAAGTTTGCGATCAATTCTACAATGTTCGTTGCGGCTCGAAGTACATCGATTTGTAATCATAAAATGTAAATAAATAAATCCAGTAATCGTGTCCTTCAGTCAGTAGTTTCGTCTGCATTTACTAAAATATCATATTGTCTCTAAGCTGAGATGAAACTAACATTTACTTGCATTGCTAGTCAGGGTGGAGTAGGTTTAAATCTCAGAAAGCAAAACACAGCATCATTAAAGCGAATCCGATCCGTTCGTATTTATTCATGATAACAGCAGCCACCCCGAATTTGACTGCTGACCTAAGTACTCTTGGACTCCAAAAAATTACGATGAATCGCAACCAAGCCGGTGACACTCTTCTCCTCTGCTCGGTGAGACCCCAACTGTTCACAGAACATTCCTTCAACAGACAGTTCTTGTTTTGATGTTCTGCGAGCGGTAGGTATCGTTTCGTATGTATAAAACCATGTTCATCGAAATAGAACCCGTAAACTGCACCACCCATAGTTTCAAGACACCAAAACTTATACACCTGATTAGGTTATGAAAGCCGTCAAAATACGCAGCTGTCACTTGTTGTAAAATGCATATTTGTACTATAGGAAAATAATGCACCTGTAATAATATAAATTTAATGCTTACTATGTGAACATTATTTCATACTATTAAATAAACTATTTGTCTTAACGTCAATATTCCTTGATATAATCACAAAACCATAACAAATAAATATGTATACCAAGATGATACAATACTTGTTTCATTGCGTAAGTGTAGAGATTGTGTAATTTTAAAATTGTGCAAATTGCAAAAATTTATTTAGGATTTATTGAAAGTCTTAAATTTTAACAAAAAAAAAAACATTTAATAGGATTCAAATACAGCTTTTGTCTATTTTTAGAAATTACAAAATTGTTACAAAGATAATCGCAGTGGCGGGAAGACGTAAAATTTAAAGAAAAAAATGTAATAAAAACGTATAAGTTTGTTTGAATTAATGTGAATACTGACGACACATTTACAAAATCAAAAATGACTATTGTTCTATAAGGAATGGCTCATGTAGAAAAGTAATACAATAAGTAGCAATAATTAATTAACAAATTTTATAGATTTAATAAAAAAAATAATCATAAAAAATTATACTTAATACAACCAAAAAGTTTGATTCTGCTTTTTTTTTTCTTTAAATTTTTAATTATAATCTCACAGTAAGTAGATTTGACCAACACATTTAAAGGGACTAAGTCTTTTTTGTTTTTTTTTAAACCTTAGTATAGTCTTTGTACAAAATCTCGTTTACGTTCTCATTTTAGATACACTTTAATAAAATTTCTTCGCTTGGCTTTCTTTATTGTCCCTATAACACGAAATGACCATTGTTAATATATATACACATATATATATAATTTATGCACTGTTTTACCTGTAAATATTGTATCCTAGGAGAATGACCAAGTGTATGGTAATAGTGACCAAGAACATCGTTACTGAAACTCCACCACTGGTTGACGGACAAACAACGTCTCGTCTCTCATTCAGCTTCTGCATAACTTGACCGTAGTTCTGTTTCACGTGGTTGATACCATCGCGCATTTCTGACATGATGGACTGAGTATCGTAGCCAACGGATTGTACCTGGGCCGTAGGTGCTTTTGCTTGATTGTTGATGATAGTATCTGTGCGTGTCTTCAATTCTAGAATAAACTGCCTAATTTCTCTTGTGGCAGCCACAATTTGATTCTGATTGTTGAACATGGCATCGACTTCATGCCTCCGGATAGTATCTACGTATCCGCCTGGGGCTGGGGCTTGTCCTCCAACTTGAGCTGGTGGTGGAGGAGCCTGCCCTCCATTTTGCGAAACCAAACTGAGTGTCCTCTCTTGGCGACCTACTACCTCGTCAAGTTTTCTATGCAGTTCTCTTAAGACATCAAACATCTGAGACTGTCCTTGGAAGATTTGTCTCAGTTCCCTTTGATTATCAGATTCAAACCAATCATCAATGTTTTGTTCCTTGACCTCATTAGGATGCTCTTTCCTATACTCTTCTTTTTGCAGCTCTAATTTCTTTTGATACTCTTGATATTCCTGATTCAACTTTTGAGAATCTTCTGCAAGACCATTACGTTTAATTGTGCTTGTTAAGTTTCGTAAACTCACCTTGTTGTTGTATTGGTTGCTGAGCATTTGCATGCAAGCTGCTGGTGAGGAAGTGAAGAACGTCGTGATCATCGGCCAAACCACCGGTTGCTGCCGATACTCCAAAATAGCCATTTTTGGGTAATATCACATTTTCTGCACGGAAACAAAGCTCGTAATCCTGTTCATTGCTAGTCATGCCATTGTGAAATAGAAGAGTCAAAACATTGTTATAGTACTCAATGCGAGCCCTGGTCGGGAACGGCTTGTTACGGAAGTCTCTTAAACAACCAGCTGTCAATTGGGTGGTTCCATCATTCTGGTGATCGAACTCCTTAGATCCATCATTCAATACAGCCATAATATATGGGTTATTGTGCTTGTTATCATTGTCAAATGAGTCAAAGAAAATACCCAGACCAACCCATTTATCAGATGATCCAAATACTTCTCCATCATAAGATCCTTTAGTTTGTGTATACCAAAAGGCCTAATAAATTGATAATTAAAATAAATTAATTATATATATATGAAATTTATTATCCATGCAAAACTTACAAGACCATCAGCACCAATTCTTCCTCGACCAGTGACTCTAAATGAAACATCAACATCCCAGCTTTCAAAATTAATGGGATTCTTTGTCCAAATAGCTCCTTTCTGACTTCTCAATGAAGGTGCAATACGAACATTCTCAGAGCTTGCAATAGCATCTTAAAAAGAGAGCAATAATTTAATGTTACAAACATAATTACAACTCAAATCATACTTTTTTGACCATATTAGAATTTTTTAAAGAACAAACATCGACTTAGAAAAATAAGTATTTCAAATTTATATCATTTTCATTCATGGAATTCCATCTGTTCTTATTAGAACATCATATTTTTTTCTTGCTTTGGACGTGTCAGAAATTAATGACGTGTATGTTAAAACCGAACTACGTCTACAGCTTTCTCTTTCGAACAAACTATGGATCAGAGAGAGAAGACCGAATTAGGTCGGGTCGAAGATTGTGTCAAAGATTCGACTACGTGTACGGTTGACATTTAGGATTTTAACTTACTGCCACCGTATTCCCAGAAGGGTACCGATCCATCCTTTTGTGCCAAGTACGGCGGTTTGAACGAATATTGATACTCAAAACGTTTATGCACCAAATTTGCACTCACAACACTTATCGCGCAAAGGAATATTGTCCATTTTGAAATAATATTACAACCTTCCATCTTCAATTCAAACTTCACGCTACTTCCATTCACAGGTGTTACCAACTCAATGAATGAAATAGTGAGAACATAAAATGTATTCCCCCTAATATCAAACGTACCAACCTTGTAGACATTCGATTAAGTGTTGCCAAAATTGAAGTTTTCTTTAATGACAGATTTTCATTTTCAAACTACTCTCCCATGAAATGAATCGGAAAATAAAAATTAAAAGTGTAAATCGTTATTATTTATTATTACTTAAATAAAATATATACTTCCATTATATTTTGTTGAATTGAACAATGTAAAAAAAAATATCTTAACGTCTATCAGTTTTGCCATTACCGCGTTTGCCGGAGAACAAATGCTTGGGTTTCTTTGTGCCGATGAACCTGTCGGCTTCTCCCTTAAGACCCATGCGACCGACTTTCTTAGCAATTGCCCTGTGAGCAATTTGGGCTAACTTATTCTTCATTGCTACATCCTTAATACCCATTTCATTACGTGGCGTTCTTGAAACAGCTCTGTTCTTGTTCTTATTCTCGGTAACGTCCACTTCCATCCTGGATCTCTTCGCTACCGGTCCCAAAGACCTGCTTCTTCCCTTTGTCCTGGTGAAGTGTGCATCTTCGGTTCCATTCATATCAACGCCCAACTCAGACATTTCTTTACGCAATTTGTTAATATTCCTACCACGTACCTTGGCCGTACTTGTGCGTGGCATGACTGGTTTCTTACAGTGCTTTTGGACCATTGCCTCACTCTTCAGAATGGCCTTCTTGTTTCTTATTTGTTCGGCGAGTGCCTTAATTTCCTTCATTGTAGCATCCAATTCTATCTTCGGCACAACATACATACCAGTTTCTTCTCTGATCGATTCTTCGCGCTCAAGCTCTTCCAATCTCTCGAACAGCTCTGGATCAATATAATCCGCAACATTATGACCTTCAATAAACTCTGGTATAACATCATATCTTTCTTCCTCTGGGATATCTGTGTAGTGCTTATTCAAATCCAGAATATAATCATCGCCTTCCTCAAGTTCGATATCACGCTCCAATTTCCTTTTCTTTTTATCACCGGCTTCTGCTCTTTTCTTCATTACCGATTCTGGTATAGATGGGGCCCTGACAACATTATCTCTAGGTTTAGGGACAGCCACATGTAATCTGTTCAAAATGCCATCTACTTTCTTTGACCTCATTTTCTGGTCCACCCTGAAGCTAAGCAATTTCTCGCAGGCTCTCATTTTAACATCCATTACACCTAAATCTGTTACAGTCGACATTTCTAAAACATCCAATTCGGGATCGGCTTCGATTTCAGCCAAAGTCGCTCTGCGTTCTGGACTTAATTCGTCCAGTGAAACAATATCCACTTTATTTGCTACAAGTAGCAGAGGTTTATTTGCAAAGAGCGGTTTAATTGATTCGAACAATCTTACTTGTTCATCAATTGTGTGGCCACATTGCTCAGAAAGGTCCATGAAATATAAGACGCATGCTCTAAGATGAGCTAAAGCTGTAACGGCCTGCATTTCAATGACGTTACGATCTTCCAAAGAATGATCCAAGATTCCAGGTGTATCAATGACTTGCCAACGTAGATACTTGTAGTCTGTGTGTCCAACATATAATGATTTTGTGGTGAAGGCATACGGCTGGACTTCAACATCAGCCCTGGTAACTTTGTTAATGAAAGACGATTTGCCAACATTAGGGAATCCGCAAATGATGATTGTTCTTGTATATGGATCAATTGAGGGCAAACGCGCTAAATGCTGCCTTACTTGTTCTAAATATGTTAAATTTGAAGCCTGTCGTTTCATGATAGTAGCCATACGTCCAAGAGCAGCAGTTTTCAATTGTTTGCATCTGTACAATGAATCTCCATATTTCAATAGGCGTACATAGTCCTTTGCAACACTAAAATTGAGAATAAAAAATGTTAATACCAAGGTCAATAGTTTTAGTAAATACTATTATATTATAAGACATTAGAACTAGATTATAATTAATATTTCTCTCTTAAATGCATAGTGAAGTATAAAATAATTGTAAAAAAAGAAGGTACTAACTTGTCAATCAAATGTCTAGCAGTGTTCAGTTGTCCCAAAGCCAATTTGTAATGATCTTTGTCATACAAAACATTCATCAGGTCGGCATAAAATGGATGAACATCATCCAACTTGGGGAACTCTGACAAGATCTGAGTGAGACGATCATGGAAATTTTGTTGGGTGTACTTGATCTTCCTCAAGTAGAAGCTGCGGATCCTGGAGATCTTGTATTGCTTGTGGACAACGGTCGGAGTTTTACGTTGCGTTTTCGATAATATAATATCGATGAAGTCCTGTTGGCGAAGTTAGGTTATGTTTACAAATAATCATTGATTGGCTTTAATCGCACTTACCTTTGCAGTCGGTATGACCGCTATCTTTTTAAAATTGTACATAGACATGATGGTCTGTTCTTTTACACTGAGAATCAACTAAAACTGAAGAAAAACAAACAAATTCCACCGCACGTGTCAGAACTGAACACGAGGGGAACGAAAGTGAACGAGAACCAATGGAAGCAATGGGAATGCGTATGCAAGTTAGAAACATGCGCTCTACCATATCCACATATTGCGTATTATTTTATTATAATTATATCTGAAATATTTATTAAAATTAATATTTATAATTACTTATATTTCCGTGTTTTTGTAGTTTTGTCTTTATCTTTATATAATATATAATTATATTTTTATAGTTGTATGGTAAATTGGTTGCCTATATTAAATTGCAAAATAACACAAGGTAGCAGTAAAATTTTCGTTTCATCTTTCGCACGTTTTTGGTCGGTGGCAATTACAAAACCGAAAACCGAAATATCGTCAATCAAATTCCCGACGTTTGAAATTCCGACAACTACAATCCCGACTATATTAAAATCCCGACAACCATAATTCCGACTGTATCAAAATCTCGACTATAACTAAAACATTTAAAAATGCTATTGTAAAATTTTTTGATATTGACGGGATTTTGATACAGTCGGGATTATGTGTTGATCGAGATTTTGATATAATCGGAATTTTTGAACGTCGGGATTTCGATACAGTCGGGATTTCAATAGATGGTCTTTTGGTTGCCGGGCTTGCAATATAGACCTGTTTTTTGGTGATCGTTGTATCAGATTAACAAACATTAAATAACTATCCAAAATTTTATTTTAACATAATCTTAACTTAAAGCTTTGCTTACATGTCATTCCTTTCATTTATAGTTAAATAACTGGCCTGAAGCGCATAGAAAATAATCAATATAAAAGTACAGTTACTCGTATAGTGTACTCGTAAAGTGAAACATATTCAAAAATTCACATAATATTATGTAGCAAGCACGCAATCCGGGACTTCTCTTCTCATCGTCACTCGTTAAGCGAGTCATTTTTCTTACAATTAATCTTGTTCGTTAAACGAGGTTCCACTGTATATTAATTTATTATAGTCATAAACTTATTTAATGAACATTTAAGACTATAATTAATATGCTAGTATAAATTGCACAAATAATGAACAATTTTTTTTTCAGGATTTTTGGTCATTTTTTGTTTTATGTAAAGAAAGGAAAATTAGTGAATAATTCTTGTCGTGTCCAGATTTTTGATTGAACTGGTCTGGTCACCGAATATAGGAATTATATATACTGCCAAACTATACACTTTCCAACTGACAAACATTTCATTATATTAACTAACTGTTTATATTTAGTATGCTTTCATGGATCTTTGTTATCAAATTCCAGGAACGTTCTGAAATTTGATCACACCAGACGAATTTTATCAAATAAAAATTAGTGACGATGAATTTAACCATGTAACAAATTATTTTAAACTGTTACCGTCTCACATTTAACACAAAACTATTAAAAGGAATTTGATTTTGACAAAAGTATTTTACTTGAGTTTACGTTAGGCTCTGCAAACAAAGCGTATAAATCAGCGGTCGGGGTAAATTACCCAAAATGGGGAGAAATGATTTTTTTTTTGGGTAATAGGGAAATTTTTCTAATTTCATCTTACGAAACTCAGAGAGCGGTTCTCTGACTACTTTTCAGATCTTGATGTACAAACTGTGAATTGGATTGTAGATCCTTTTAAATGTGAAATTACCAACATATCAGAAGAACCTCCAGGTTTGACAGAGGCAATTCTTGAACTTCGATTCAATATTGAAGCACGTATTCAATTTGAGACCAAAGCAAATCTGTCGTCTTTTTTGTTGTCAAAGTTGCAGCATTTCAAAATTGCACATGAGGAGGCAGTAAAAAAATTGCTGCTATTTGCAACAATTTACCTTTGTGAACAAGGCTTCTCCACTCTAATGAACATAAAAACGAAAAACATAAATCGATTAAACGCCGAAGACTGTATTAAAATTGCTCTTACATCAAAAAGTCCCAATTTTAA